TTTGTTTATTGCATCTTTGCTTATGCTTTTCTCATTTTTAAATAATCACTGACTGATGGATAGATAGATAGATAGATAGATAGATAGAAAATATGAAACAAATTTATATACAAAAGCAGTCATTCCAATAAGTAATTTTCTTTCAAATATCCATGATTTGAGGCTTGAACTCTACAATTTAACATATCTAATATTCAAGACCCACCCAAATCTCTCTGACACATCAGACACAAACACACTGAGTGGAAACAATTTCTTTACGGGCCGCAAAACCCCCAGAGGGAACGTTTCCCCCACTGAGCTCTTTGTTCTAATAGATCAAGGGTGTGTTAGATGTTATGAAGCATATTTGCATGTTTACCTTAGGACGACACATCACAGTGGAAGCCCTTTCCTTTGGAAATCACAGCACCTCACCTAGTTCTGCTGATCTGAGTTGGAAACATGATCAGCCTATAGTCCCAGATCAAACATATCAAGTCTCTGTCAGGACATGTTGGCTTTTCTACTCTTGGGTTTTCTGTGGAACTTCGACAGGGCATGTTAAACTGAATTTGCTTGATATAAGTATTGCGTTTGTCATTTTCTACAGAAGGAGAGATTTTATCATTACAGAGACTTTAATTTCTGCTTTGGATTTTGTATTGCAGACAGGAGAGGTGAATGACTTTGTTGCAGAAGCCATCTGACAGTCATGATCTGTCATCAGCCATATTCATGTCAAGCTGCTAGGATAAAGGCATGTGTATGAGAGGTGACGTTTTCTTTCAACAGGTGTTGCTTGGCTAAATTTAATTGTTATTACTCCTGGAAGTATTTCACAGTTGGCATGCAAATGGCTGTGATTAAAACAAATCCATTCCTTTTGATAGTATCATGTTAAAATCAACTTGAATTGAACTATACTAAATTAACACATTTTTCAGCACACCCATCTAGTCTCTGAAACTGTAGCCAGGTGTACTTCAACAAACTGTAACACAATCTGCCTACAAAACAAAATCTTAACACATGGTGGTGCTATATGCTCACACATTTAGAGTTCAAAAAGTCTCCCCCTAAAATTCATGGCTTAATGAAAATCATATCCAGCTGTATGATTTTTGCTTCATAAAACCATGTGCCTATTAAATAAATGGGATGTTTCAGAGTTTCATGCCATTACAGAGTATTAAAAGTGACCCATCTGGAGGTTGCAACTTCTTCTGGAATGAATTACTGTACTCCAAGTGAAAACTGTTGCTGCTGATAGGATGAGCGCATGATCTGTAAAATGGGAGCACTTTTCTGCAGGAACTGATTCTGCAAAAAGTCTTGCAGAGCAAGCACTGATTCAATGATGGCTCAAATCTTGTGTTGAGTAACAGTTTTTTTTTATTGGAATAAATTATAATGCACAAAACAGATTATTATACGGTGTGCTGTGATTATACATGTTTTACTCTGCCCTCATGTTCTGAAGAGACAAAATCTTGCTCATCTGATGCGAGTTCCAGGAAACAGCACGTCTGCCGAATCCCCTCCCATCCTCTGTTGTTTAGGTCATCGCATGACTTGACACTGTCCTTTCTCCATACTGAGCAGCCTGTTCGCAGACACACAGAAGCGTGTAGCAATATTGACGTTTTATAACACAAACTCTACTGCCAGTGGTGAAGGAATTTCATGAACTTGACTTCTCATGGGGATTCCAGAAATGACTGTGGCCTGTTTATAAAGGTTATGGCACATAAGCGTCATGTGGTTTTGATTTGGACGTCATTTTTAACTATGCTTAAAAAAATATTGTGTGCAATGGGATTTCTAATCGCATTGGATGCTAACGTAACAGGGAGTTGTCTCACTCCCTGTTTGACATCAGAATGTTAAACAATAGGAAAAAGGGGGGAGATCATAATTAACAGTGTTTTCTAAATAACGGATCTCCATTTTAGTAGCAAAAGTGGCGGATCGGTTTTACCTGATCAAATGTAAATTTAGCCCTGAATAAATGAGAGATGGTATTATCACACGCTCTGTATGGTGGACAACTTCTGCATGGGGATTTTTCCGCGCCGTGTGTCAGCTGAAGATATTCTCCTGGTCTTCAGAGGGCTGTTCCCAGGAACGCTCAGCCAAGACGAGACCCCAGGCTCAACACCCTGCTGTACTTTGAAATGGGATCTTTATTGTCCATAAAGTTTAAGCCAAGTATGAAGAATCGCTCCTCCCAAACAAAACACACACACATGTATGAAGAGAGAAAGGGAGAAAGAGTGCACAGTCTGTTTCGTCAAAGCCATGTTTCCAATTATGCAGCAGATATATCCATATATATACAGTATATAGATAGATAGATGGGGTATGATACATTTCTTTTTAAAACTTTCTTTAAAATAAAGAAGGCTCTTCATCTCATATAACTATAGGAATAACAAGAACAAACCTTTCTTAGTGTGATTAGATGTTATTTATTAAACTGATTAGAATTTTTAAAAGTACATCTTTGCTAAATTGATCAATTTTGTACAAAATGCAATATGCACTAACTTTCAGTAAATTTATTTGCCTTCAGACCCAAATTGATTGCTGTTTCTTTGTAATTAAACTATCTCACAAGACAGGCAGGTTATCTTCCCTCTTTTATGTAATGATAAATTGAACTGCAAAACACCTGCAGCTCAGACAAAACTGTTCCATATTTGCTGCTTTGAAGCTGGAGGGAAAACAAAGAGCGAAAATCAAAAAGACCTGACCCTGAGATAACAGATAAACAGCCTATCACATCCTCTTTCTGCTCTTGGCTATCTCAAATGAGATATGAAAACAGATCCAGGGCTTCTATCTTTGATTGTACCTGCATGTGATGCAGTACATCACTGTATCTGAATCCAATAGTAAAGTGAGACTTCAAAAGAGCAGGGGTCAGAATGTTAAACAATAGGAAAAAGGGGGGAGATCATAATTAACAGTGTTTTCTAAATAACGGATCTCCATTTTAGTAGCAAAAGTGGCGGATCGGTTTTACCTGATCAAATGTAAATTTAGCCCTGAATAAATGAGAGATGGTATTATCACACGCTCTGTATGGTGGACAACTTCTGCATGGGGATTTTTCCGCGCCGTGTGTCAGCTGAAGATATTCTCCTGGTCTTCAGAGGGCTGTTCCCAGGAACGCTCAGCCAAGACGAGACCCCAGGCTCAACACCCTGCTGTACTTTGAAATGGGATCTTTATTGTCCATAAAGTTTAAGCCAAGTATGAAGAATCGCTCCTCCCAAACAAAACACACACACATGTATGAAGAGAGAAAGGGAGAAAGAGTGCACAGTCTGTTTCGTCAAAGCCATGTTTCCAATTATGCAGCAGATATATCCATATATATACAGTATATAGATAGATAGATGGGGTATGATACATTTCTTTTTAAAACTTTCTTTAAAATAAAGAAGGCTCTTCATCTCATATAACTATAGGAATAACAAGAACAAACCTTTCTTAGTGTGATTAGATGTTATTTATTAAACTGATTAGAATTTTTAAAAGTACATCTTTGCTAAATTGATCAATTTTGTACAAAATGCAATATGCACTAACTTTCAGTAAATTTATTTGCCTTCAGACCCAAATTGATTGCTGTTTCTTTGTAATTAAACTATCTCACAAGACAGGCAGGTTATCTTCCCTCTTTTATGTAATGATAAATTGAACTGCAAAACACCTGCAGCTCAGACAAAACTGTTCCATATTTGCTGCTTTGAAGCTGGAGGGAAAACAAAGAGCGAAAATCAAAAAGACCTGACCCTGAGATAACAGATAAACAGCCTATCACATCCTCTTTCTGCTCTTGGCTATCTCAAATGAGATATGAAAACAGATCCAGGGCTTCTATCTTTGATTGTACCTGCATGTGATGCAGTACATCACTGTATCTGAATCCAATAGTAAAGTGAGACTTCAAAAGAGCAGGGGGGTCTTGGATTTCAATTCGGGACCCCCTGGCCAATCGGATAGATGAGGTAGAGTGTGTACGGCGAATGAAGACAACATCACAATGAAGAACTGTCTTGAGAGCCACAAATTACATTGGGAGGACAGTTAATGAGGGTGATAATGCAGATCTTTGCAGATGATAGATGAGAGGACAGCTATTACAGGCCAAATGTGTGAGATTCATGGCTTTGTTTTAAATGCACTACAGGCTAAATGCGACTGTGTTTTTATGATTTGATATGCTCATAAATCATTATTTAAACAATGGGGGGGCTGGAATGCAAAAACACAAGCTGAATGGAATTTAAGAATTTTTGGATTGTCTTTATACAACTAAATAAATCCTAAAATATTTGATAATGATAATGAAGAAGCAAGTCAGTAAGGCTAAGTCACTTGGAGTAAGTTGGGAGATACCTGAGCAGGAGTAACCTATTACTGGAATAAAGTGTCACCATTGCCCACCCTGTCTGGACTGTATAACTGAATTAAACATGTTTGCAGACTTCTTCTCAGAGATGGTCATATTGCCATAAATCAAGCATGTATACCAAATGTCGTTCTTATTGTTGTTGTTGTTTATAATAAATAAATAGCATAATAGTTCTTCAATAGATATTTGCAGGACATTTACTTCAACAAAGAATATCAGCCTGTTCTATAAAGTTGTCACAAAATGTACCGCTTAACAGCACTGGACATTCATAATGTGTCGTGTACTACCTGATCCTCCAGAAACTGTAGATCGGAACCGTTTTTTCCTGTATAACAATGTTCCTGACTCAAGCCCCGGGCGACGTCACTGAGTGGGTGATGAGCTCTGAGTTTCTTACACCACGAGAAAAAGGTCCCCAGCTGAAGGCAGAAAAAACGCGTGACGAGAGGAGCACGAAATGCCTTCTAGACGTCTACCTGTTTGGATCAGGATGCGATCTGCAGCACTCGCAGAAGGGCGCGCGCACGCAGGTTCAGCACATGGCACTCAGATCTACAGTTGTGCGCTTCAAGAGAGCAACTGGATTATTTACATTCCAAACCGAAACTCTTTAAAAGTTCTGGCATTTTAGTAGTTCAGGAGGTTTGACTGCATTCCATCAAGATCTAAGTGCACTTCTGCCTGGATTTTTTTCCCTCATTTTATTTTGCTGGATGAAGATCTCCAATAAGTAAGAATGAAGATGCTGACCACTTTCCAAGCGGATTTTGCGATCGTCCTCACCAGATGATGCGCTTCTTGGACGTGTATTATTCTTCAGGGGTGCTGAATCTCCTCAGAAATTATCAAACTTTCTCACAGGACAAGCCTCTTTCATCTCTGGACTAGTTCTTCAGCATCTTTTGTCCTTCGAAAGGCATCTGACAATGACGATTCCACTTTCCAGAACACAGCTTGCCCTCTTCTTTATCCTGCTTTGTCCAGTCAACATTATCGGGCTCTGGTGGTAAGTACTGTCTCTGGCGCGCGCTCAATCGCCTTTAGAAATTCCAGCAAGCTCCATATTTAAAGCTCGATCAGTGTGATTAGTGGGGAACTTCAGCGTGATAGTTTAGAGATGATCGAATATGACAATATGACAACACCGTTCCGGGTTTTCACATAATTATTCATTGAACAAACATCCTTAGGCACTCTTAACAATAAATAGTTCTCAGGTTCGGCTAAACCCCCTCTTCTTATCAAGAAACTTCTTGCTGTATTCCAGAGTGGGTTTTTTGGTTCTCTAGAGGTTAAAAACGTTCTTCATGTTTACACATAGGTTCTTCGGATCGTTATGTTGGTTGCTGGAATGGTAAAGCAGCATAGTACAGATTGTTTCATAAGGAAAGAATAAAACTTTTGAAAGTTATTTTGCTGCATCAGGTTGTAAAGCATTTTGTTTCTGTTTCACATTTATTGTTTAGAGTGCATGTGTTGCAGTTTTGGTGATTACACAGGCGTTAAATGAATTTCAATATTATATGCCTTAAATATGCCTTATTTCCTGCACACTCTATGAAACTGTTCAGTTTTAATATACACTTTCCATTAAGCACTTCTTACAAAATCAAAATTCAAAAATGTTAAGAATAAGAATTAATTATTAACAATAAATAAATGCATAGATGACATAAAATATTTGAAAGACGGCATTTAAACATAAAAAAATGAATTACTAAAAAAACAGGTGGATCAGGAGGTCACTCTAAATAACTTAATATATTTGAAATCCTTACAGAGAAATTTAAAGTTTCCATAAAAGTTGTTAAACATAGCTCCCATTATCATGAGTTTACTAAGGGTTAAGCTGTACTCTGTTTCAGAGGTAGACACATTGGGGGTCAGAGTTGGAATTTTAGGTGGACCTCCAGGCTGTGGGTGTCATCATAAACTACTCCTTCCCCTAACACTCTGAAATGTACGAGTTTGACAAGAAGAAGATTGTTTGATAAACAGAGACAATCCAAAATGACACATTACTTTTAACAAGGGTGTTGTTTAGCTAATCCAATTTTCACATTTTCACATTATAAAAGGTCAGCTTCACCTAAAGCTCCCCTCACTTTTTACACACACACACACACACACACACACACACACACACACTATCTCTCTCTCTCTCTCTCTCTCTCTTTCTCTCTCATACACCTGGAGGTCTAAAATAGTTTGCAAAGACAATGATGCTTTCTTTGGGGCACGACGCATGCCATCACAAACCTCTCATCTGGGGCTGGGCTGTGCCGAGGGTCTCTGACAGACGGCATGCCATTCACATGCTGAGGCTGAGAGGAGATGAAAAGGAGGCAGATAAACTGACTCTCAGGACTCTGATTGTGCTCTGATCTGTGGGGCTGAGAGCTGAGTGCTTGAGGAAGAGATGGGAAGCCTCACCTCTTCTGGAGTCTTCGGGGTCATGTGCTGGCGGCCCGCCAGGAGTCTGTCGGAAAGGTGTGCCTGTGCACGCACCATACCCTCTCGCTTTTATGTGTGTGTGTGTGTGTTGTCTCAGTCAACATTTTTGCATGTAAATGCCTATGTGTGACCCAATCTGTGTTCACACTCACTTTATTCTATTAAATCAGTGGTTCTCAACCTTTTTGATTTGAAGGCCTCCATTATCCTATACAATATTCAAAGGCCCCTCATATAAACTATACTATTTCCTCCGGTATGTTCTGCTGTAATAATGACAAAGCTACTTGTTTATAAACTTTTTAGTAACGGAAATTGGGAATGTTTATATGTTAAATTAAATAACCATAATAATTTTTGTTCCAGAATTTTTGAAGAACGCTAGTTCTTTAATAAAAAAATTGATTGTAATAATAGTAATAATAATAATAATAATAATAATAATTAAATGTTGCTATGAAATAGGGGATTTTTTATTTTTAGTTTATTAAAATAATTATTTAGTGTGTAGTATGTGTATTTTAGCATTTTAATTAAGTTACAATATTTTAATTTAATATTTTTTAAGTTTTAATTTAAATATTTTTTCTGCCCCCATGGTTGAGGACCACTGTATTAAATGGATAGTTCACCCAAAAATGATAATTCTGTCATCATTTACTCACCCTCATGTAGTTTTAAGCCTGTATTAGGGATATGCCGGTATCAAATTTTCATGTTGCGATTAATTGCTAATGCTTTTATCACGGTATTCGGTATTATCACGATATTGAAATTAAGTTTTAAAAAAAAGTGCTGTCATAATACAGTATAACAGGTTTAATAACTTTTTTTCTTATAACAAAAATAACTGAACATTTAGCAATAAAGCAATACAGAAAAATGTATAAAGTCAAAAGTTTTACACAGATTAAAGTGCAAAAGAACTATAAAGACCAATAGGTATCACTTTACAATAAGACCTCATTAGTTAACCTTAGTTAATGCATTAACATTCACAATGAGCAATAGCTACATTTGCTACAGAAGTTATTAATCTTTGTTAAAAAAAATACAAGTCTTTGTTCATGTTAGCTCATTAAATAACACAGTTGCAACTTTCGATTTTAACAACCTGTTATTAAATATTGGAATACCTAAGATTAATGAATGTTCAGAAGAATTTTTCATTGCCAGTTTATGTTAACTAATGAATTAACTAAAGTTAACTAATGAAGCCCTAATGTAAAGTGTGACCGAACAATAAAGAATCAAAACACTTTCAAACAATATCTAGGGCATGTTGTAGTCCAGATTAAAATGTAAAAAAAAGTTTGAAAATAAATAGCCTATTAAGTCTAAATATTTAAGTATTTGGCGCTGTGATGAACATCATAGCAAATACACAAATCTGAATGGCTATTTAAATCATTTAAACATGATTCAGAAACAGGAAGTAGTGCAGCTGCTTTGTTTACAGGGTTTCCGGGGTAAAGGCTGCATTTAAATGAATGATTATATTATTATTATTATCATTTCTGCAGTTTAGCGCCATCTGCTGTCAGAGAGTGAAAGTGCGCTTTCATCCAGAGCGTCTCTCACATGTTCCGCCATGTGCTTCTCGTCCGCGCTTGTTTACATCAGAGAGCGCACGCGTCTTTCACGCAGCATACAGCGGTGTTGTGCATTTTGACCAGTTGATGGGAAAAGTATTCTTAAAATGCATTCAAAATTCGGAATAATTTGTAATATATAATTATTCACGGTATTTAGAAGTGCCCACGATAACAATATCGTGCATATTCATTACCGTGATATATCGCATTACCAAATACCGGCACAAGTCTACTTTGATGATTGGTTGATATCAGAAGGGAGGCTAGCCTCCCTTGCAAGGGTTCTTTTCTCAACACTCCTCAGCGCTGAAAGTGAACACTCGATGGTGATTAGCTCATTTTTTTTTACCAATGGAGGCACTAGAGCTCAGCACTCACCCGGCCTCCCCCTCCCCCTCCCCTTCTCTATCATTAGCGGTTGTAATTACATCAGCAGATTCGGCA